CCGCTGCACAGAAGCCTCAGCGGGAATTGCAAATCCCCACCGAAGACCCGCGCGCGAGAAAGGGGGCTTTGACCTTTAGGGACCTGGGGCTCCATCGAGAACTCCTGTAACTGAAACGAACGGAAAGCAGGGCGCACAGGGAAGGACACACACCCGACCCTTCAGATCACCCGTAGGGCCACGACGGTGGAGTCCCTGCTGCTGCTGATGGTAGGCAGAAGGTTGAGCTTGTACAGAAGCAGCAACGTTTTCTAAAGACACTCCTAGGGACATCTGAGCACAGCAGGGTCTCCTAAGGCAAAGGGCGTGTTTTCATCAAGGTACATGTTTTAAACAGAGCAAAACAGGACTGAATTCCAATGTTTTTCTTCAACCTGCCTCAAGAGTAGCTGAAATGGACAAAAACACTAATTTTGTTCAGTCGTTATTGGTTATAGGCCAACAATAGTGACTCAGGGTTGGGAGATGCTAAATGCAATTGAAGCTTAAATATTCAAAGATAAATGTGTTTGGCCTGTTGCCCCTTCGCAGTCTAGGCGACACTATGGACTGTGGGTTACTTACCGTCCTGAAATGACTGTCTCGGAGCTGCGGGTGCCCAGCTGTGTTCATTCTGGTTGAATTTCCCATGTGTGCCTACGTGAGGATGGCGAGAAGGCAGCTGTGCTGAGCACATCCTGTGTGCCAAGAACCAGCTGGAGCAGTCCCTGAAACAACCTTGTGAGATGGGTGTAATTAGTTTTAGGAGGAGGCTGGGAGAGGTTAAGTACCTGCACAAACAGGTGGAACAGGAGGAGCATAAACTTGAAACTCCAGTCCTGCTCTTTCCCCTGGGCCACATTATCCACGGAAAACCCAAGCCTGGAGAGAAAAACACCAGGCCTAAACCTGGGAAGGTCTGTGGGGAGGTGTCAAAATATTAAACCTGGTTTGTTAATTTAACAGCGACTAGCAGATCATTTATATTCAGAGGAATACATTGGAGGTTGTTTGGATAGGCTGGAGGCACAGTGAACCGTAACAGGCATTAAACGAAAATTTCTAGAAAAGAAAAAGTCGTCTCTTACAGATATAAAAATGAACACTTAGTAAAGGTTTTATTAACTCATTAATCAGGAAATCGGTAAGGACGTTCCAACCAGATCAAAGAAGAATCCAAAGAATGGGTACATGTATAGATCGGGATACTACAATGCAGGCAAAACTGGTTTTCCATGTGGGAGAGGGGAAGAGGGATGTTGCTTCATTGGACAGGCTCTTTGCATGGCTAGAGACCAGAGTGATGTCACGTTGTTATCTGTTACTGCAACTGACAAAGTTGTAAAACAGCTCAAACAATGGGTAGTTTTCCCCTGAAGGAGAAATTTGGCCTCACCCTCCACCCCTCCACATGCACCTGACCAATCACCCACAGCGCATTTCAGTGGGTAGATGCGGGGAGGTGACTTTCTATCTAGGCAGTCCACCAGTTTCATGGTTTTGCCAGGTATATCCCTCCCGGCACACCTGAGGCTCGATTGACGCAACCATAGACATACAGAGGATGAGCAGTCTGGGACGGGGGGATTAATTCATCAGCAAGGTTTCATGAAGGTAAAAAAAAAAATGATGGCATATATGATAAAATGGAATCTGAAGCATGTACCTATTTTGAAGATCACTTGTATCTACTCTTTCAATGGTGTTGACCAGCGATTTTCAACCTTTCATCTCGTGGCACACATAAACTAATTACTAAAATTCTGCAGCACACCAAAACGTATATTTTTTGCTGACCTGAGAAAAAATAGGTTATAATTTTGACTCATTCACACTGGACAGCTATTGTGTTGGCTGTTGTCATTTTTTTATCTGACAGTCTAAGAAGAAAGAGGTCAGTGCCCCTGACTAAACAGTCAGGTGTTGCATGTTTTAAACATTCTTGCAGTTGGCCCGAGTGGCCCAGTAGGTTGAGCTTCGCCCAGTGCACCAAAGTTTGATTCCTGGTCAGGGCACGTGCCTGGGTTTCGGGTTTGATCCCTGGGTCCGGAATTTCTGTGTAAACACGTGCCATACGGTGTGATGAAGATCTCAGAGTCTAATAGAAGGCTTCATCAACTCAATCTAGGTTCTTTTGGGTTTGACCTCCTGGAAATACGCTGCCTACCATATGCACAGTAATAACTCATAAGCTGATATTTTCCTTACTTTCAAACATTTATTGGCCCCTTGTTTACCAGTTATTAGTGGTTACTCACTACCACGTGCGGGATGGAGAGCACCGAGGTGTGACCCCCACGGCACTAATGAATAAGAGGTTCATTGGCAATGGAGGGTTTGACCGGCTCACCTGTGGAATATTCGAGAGCAGTTATCCATCACACCCATCCAGTTCAGCTGCAGAGGGATGAAACCGCCATAAAACATTTGGAGAGACTCGGTTTTTCATTTCTCCCAAGATGCCAAAAAGAGTAAGCATCCATTAACACTGGCTTTGTTTCCATCTCATCAGCCATGGATTGTCTCCAAACTTCGCCCAGCCACTCCTGGACTTACCCCACTGTCATCCTCTGCTTGTATGGGTTTTTCTCCATGATGAGACCCTCAGAACCCTTCCTTATCCCGTATTTGTCTGGACCAGACAAAAACCTGACCACCGCGGAGGTAAGGTAATATCCATACGTGTCTTAATGTGTTTTAATTTCACAGGACTTGAAGAAGGACATAGACAGGGCTTCATTCAACTTGAAATAAGATTAACACACTGACTTCAATGAATCTAATTTTCATGGTATTTTTTTATTTAAAAGAACTGTTCAAACTGCTCTTTCCTCCTCACCCTTGCAAAAAAAATGGGAAACCAAAGTAGATTACAGGCATAATAAGTATTTTAACTTTTATAGGGTTCTAACATTGGTCTTACTTCATGGGAACCTTCCATCTCTCCATTGATTCTATGGTACTGGGCTCTCCATTGATTCTATGATACGAATTATAAAATAAAATCGCTGCCAGGCACTAACTCTAGTCCTACTAAACTTCCAAGCTGATGACGTATAAGCGGACTCTGATAAAAAATGTTGCATTTCTTTAAGACACTAAGTCAGTTTGTCTACCAGCATTATCTTGCCCAGAAGGCTAAGTTCTCTTACTTAAAAGATCCACCCCCTTTTATGTATATATAACAAGTGCATCAAGAAAATGCCGTGACCCAGCTGGAGAATTACCTTGAGCTAGTTTTATAATCTCCAGCCAGAGCTATGAGAGCTCTGCAGAGGGTGTGGCTTCACTGGGAAGACTCACTGATGCTGGTTTCCTTGGTGATGACATTGGGTGACATTGGTTAATAGAATTATATAGGTTTCAGGTGTACAGTTCTATGGGCATGGTATTTTTTTAAGAGCCTGAAAAAACCAGGAGTGTCCGTTGAGCAGTTTTTAACTGATTTACTCAAATGGACATATTATCTAAACATAATATAATATGTTCAGATTGTACTTGTATTCTCCTACTGAGATGCACTTAAGTATATCATTTTTTTGCAGGGCAAGGAGAGCCCTGTTTTCTTAGTGGCTTTCATGAAAATCTGTTTTCCTTTCTTTTTTCCATAATATGATGAATATCCTGATTGGATAAAAATCTGATATCGCACAAGAGACGCGTAACTTAGTCTGCATGTGGCTAAGAAAGGCATTCTCTCTATTTCCTGGTGCCGCCTGGTCACCGGTCCGTGTGTCACCCGCCCAGATGACCAACGAGGTCTTCCCGGTGTGGACATACTCGTCCCTGGTGCTCCTGCTGCCGGTGTTCATCCTCACCGATTACCTCCGCTACAAGCCGGTCATCCTGCTCCAGGCGATCGGCTTCATCGTCACCTGGCTGCTGCTCTTGTTTGGCCAAGGAGTGACAGCCATGCAGGTGGTGGAGTTCTTCTATGGGACGGTCACCGCCACCGAGGTGGCCTACTTTGCCTACATATACAGTGTGGTGAGCCCGGAGCACTACCAGAAAGCGAGCAGCTACTGCAGGGCTGTCACACTGGTGGCCTACGCGGCGGCCTCGGTGCTGGCCCAGCTCTTGGTGTCCCTGGCCAGAGTCTCATACTTTCACCTCAATGTCATATCCTTGGTCTCTGTCTCTGCGGCTTTCCTTTTCTCCCTTTTTCTACCAATGCCCGAGAAAAGCATGTTTTTTCATGCAAAACCCAGGAATGCAGTTCAGAAGTCATCGAGCACGAACGCAATGTTAGATGAACCCCGCGAAGGGGCCGCACCCCGCTGCAATGAGGAGAAGCCCGCTTCGGAAATAGCCACCACTTCAGGGAGCCTGGGTGATGACCGGCTGAGGGACCCAAAGCCGGAGAATGTCGCCCTGAGAGTTTTCGTGCAGTGGTTCCAGGATTTGAAGGAGTGCTACTCCTCCAGGCGACTTTTATACTGGTCCCTGTGGTGGGCTCTCTCCGCAGCAGGTTTCAACCAGATTTTGAACTATGTTCAAGTCCTGTGGGACTACAAGGCACCGTCCCAAAATTCTGTCATCTATAACGGGGCAGTAGAAGCTATCGCAACCTTTGGAGGTAAGCGTACCTTGATTTTCCTTTGATGGGCTACCCCATTAAGTTCATTTTTCCAGGTGCTAAACTTCTCCATGGTGGTAAATTAGCTCTGTTCAGGGAGCATATTTTTGTTTTAGGAAAGGAAGGCACTGGGAAGAGGGAAGAGGAGCGTGACACTTCCCTTCTATTTGTACAACCAGTGACCCAGACTCAGGATTGAGCACCAAACAATGAAAGTCTAGCCAAATTCCTAAGATTTCATTTCATTATCCGGAAAAGTGCTAATAAAGCCCCCCTGTCCTTCTAGAATTGTTTTTAATGTCAAAAGGCAAATATATATCTTGAATATCAGTAGGAGTTTTTATTAGTTTAGAAAATGAGTTGAAATATGAAGGCTTCTAAATTATCACTAGAAGAGTTTTGTTTACTAAAGAATTTGATTTAGCCAGTGCCCACCTTTAGAAATTCTAGGTTGTTCACCAGAAATGTTCCAAAGTCACTTTCCTCTGAGATTTAAGTGAGGGGAAGATACGTGAGAGTCAGGGTTCCAATATCAGGGGGAAATCTGCCTTTGAGCTTTGCACTGCGATAAATATTTATGCCCTGTAAATGGAAACTTAAATGTCACATGAGACTTTGAAGATATTTTCTAGGAAGTAGGAGATTTCCACACCCTCATTTTCAAAAAGTTTCAGAAAACTCCAGCGGTTCTGTTTATTATTGTCTCTCCTTTGGGAGACGAGCTTAACTGCTGGAAGCCAGCCCTGTGCCAAATGCTCCACCGAGACTGTTCTCCCTCAACCAAGTTCTAGGGGGAAAAACAGGTGTGTTTTCCTTTGCAGTCTTTCCTAGAGCAAATGTGAAAAAGTTAATTAATCAAACGTCAGTCATTTGAAACATAAATACCTCTCACTTTGTTAGAGAGAACCGTAATTGCTAATCCTAATTACAGTCAATGATTAAACCTCAAACTCTATGAATCACTGTAAATCTGTTCACCGAAAACCTCAAGTCAACTAGGCCAGATCTGAAGATGTTAAGATGGGACTATAATTAAGATTAATAAAGATTAATCATATTAATAAAAATTATAATGAATAATTATAATATATAATCATTACATAATTAAGATGTAACATAAATATATATAAATAATGTAAGTATAATAAAATATAAGTATGTAAATATTAATAATAAAGACTAAAACTTACTACCCAGTGCAACACATCTGTTACCCATCCTTGAGAAAAACTTACTATACAAATGATAAAGAAAGGCACACCTGGGCGGGCCAGGTGTACCCCCAGAGCAGTGGTCTCCCCTTCCGTCCCTGCTCTTGCGTGCTGGATCCAATGACTGGGTTTATGTCTCCCTTCTCCCCACTCTGTCGTGGTCAGGAACCTTTCTGGCCCTTCTGCCTAGCACAGTGCTTGGCATTAGACGATGCGAATTATAAGTGTGGCAACTAAGTGGCTGAAAGAATAGGAAGTCAGAGAGAAGCCACAGGAAGGCGTGGTTGAGAAAAAACAGACCCACGTGGAGGTGGATCGCGCTAGTTTCACACATTCTGAGAGCTGTTCGAATGACCTGAGACCTGAGGTTTAGAGAGCGTGTGACCTGCCCCACATGCAGGGTCACGTGTGTGATCTTCCGTACCCTTTCTTCGCCAGGGGCCGTGGCTGCCCTGGCAGTGGGGTATGTGAAAGTCGACTGGGACCTGCTGGGAGAGCTGGCCCTGGCCTTCTTCTCGGTGGTCAGTGCCGGCTCCCTGTTTCTCATGCACTACACAGCCAGCATCTGGGCGTGCTATGCCGGCTACTTGATGTTCAAGTCCAGCTACATGCTTCTTATAACCATAGCGGCGTAAGTATTACCAACCATTCTGTCCGCTCCTAAAACTGAGCCATAGTCTCTCTCCTGTGGTCTTCTAGTACCTTCGAGAACTTCAGAAGGATCTTAATCAATTGCAATATGAAACACTGACTACTTCATATTAAATTAGACACAATTAAGTCATCTTTTTATTTCACTACGTGCTGTCTGGATATTACTAAGAGTAGTCATCGAGGAAGGAAATTCCTACCTAGGTAGGTCTTGGTGGGTAGTCACATCCCAGGCAACTTTTTCAGCAAAAGGTTTATCTTTGCCTTAAGCAGGCCCTGTCCATTGTTTCTGTGCATCTAGGTTAACACACCTTTGAAATAAGCCACAACTACCCTCAGGGGAGCGCATACTCTCATTAACTGCCCTGTAGCCCAGTCCCCGCCTTGCTCTCTCCCACGTCCATGCATTCTTCTTTAGTTTCCTCCTTAATTTCAGATGCATGAAAGAAGCTGCAAAAAACTGTCACCCTCTGGAGCACTGGAGATCTTGCTCCCAGGCATACATCATCAGTTCGGCTCAAGTAAACTCTTATAAAAATTCCCAAAAAAAGAAATCTCTGTAGGTTCATAAACCAAGAGCGATGACACATCGTCAGGTTGTGATTTTTTATTTCAAGCATTTGCCATAACAAAGTGTGATGCAACCTGATTCGGAAGGATTCAGTTTAGGCTTCAGCCCCGATTTCACTTGGTGGCTTGAGTAGTTCCAAGCATGCACTTGAAACAAAATATTCCCAGCGAGTTATAAAAAGTTGGATACTGAAAAATGTAGATGCAAAGATTATAGGAAACTAAAGTCCAGAGATCATTTAAAAAAGCAATTAAAGACGTTTGGTTCCACATCTACGTACAAAGGAAGCTGATTATAGAGGAAATGTGCTTTACTGGTAACCAAAAAGATAAACGTTTTAATTTAAAATCACATGAAAAAGTTAGATACAAAGCTTTATCAAGTTTTGTTTTTTAATTTGTGAAAAATGTTTGATAAGCAACTGACAAAACACAGAAATACAAGCGCCCTGGGAAAAGATAATGAAACAAAAGAGATGAAACTTGTTAGCAAGGTGTTTTTTTTTTTCACTGAAATGTGTCAGTTTAATGAATCAAACTCATGCGTCTTGAGGTGTTTTTTAATGTGAGCATTTTGTTAAGGTAGGATTATGTTATTTCCTTCACTGTAAGGGTATTCAGAACACAAAGGTTTTACCTGGATTCTGGGGAGAACTCTAAGTAACATACATTTGCTAGTCTTTCATGGTGTTTTGTTATAAGATTTCAAAATCTACATACTTATTAAAAATTAATTACAGACTCAGTTGTACAACCAGTCATGGTCTTGGTCTTCCAAAGAATAATTCACCCCAAACTTTGAAACGACAATACAACAATTGACATTAAAATGAGTAACTCTCCAAAAAATTCTTTGGATTGGGTGTTGCTTGTATTTTTATAAAAATTCCCTGTTAAACAGTACCTAAAATCATATTGCATCCACTATACTCTCAAGTTATGAGAACTTAGAACATTTGGGTTTAATTCCTGGAAGTATTAAATTGGATAAGAGGAATTTTGCCATATTTTCTTTAACTAATTTAATTAAGCCTTTAACTATATTTTTAAACTCCCTTTCTTTTCTCTGCCTGATTGTCTATACTGAGATTTAGATAAGGATTGCTGTTAACAAGAAATAAGCCAAGCAGAGAAAGACAAATACCATGTGATTTCACTTATATGTCCAATCTAATGAACAAAATGAGTGAACAAAATAGAAACAGGTCCACAGATACAGAGAACAGGCCAACAGCTGTCCGAGGGGAGGGCATTGGGGGCCTGGGTGAAATAGGTGAAGGGAAAGCTGTATAAATCGGTAGCTGCAGAGTAGTCACGGAGATGTCGATGGGAGCATAGGGAATATAGTCAATAATGTTGAGATAACTGGGTATGGGCCAGGTGGGTACATGGGGCAGTGGGGGGACCACTCTGTAGAGTACATGGTTTTTAGGCCACTTTACTGTACCTCTGAAACTGGTGCAGAATGATATTGAATGTAAACTGTGGTTGAAAAAATAAATAAATAAATGTTTTAAATCCAGAAAAAAAGACAGTGCTTTCTCTTTTTTTAGTTTTTTAGTTTTAATTACAGTTGACATACAATATTATGTTAGTTTCAGGTGTACAACATAGTGATTGGAAGTTTATGTAACTTATATAGTGATCACACAGTAAGTCTAGTACCCATCTGACACCATCCACAGTTATTACAATATTATTGACTAAATTCCATATGCTGTACTTTACATCCCTGGGACTGTTTTTATAACTGGTAGTTTGCACATCTCAATCCCTTCCCATCGCCTCAACCCCCACCCCATCTGGTAGACTGCTTTCTCTTTTCTAATTTGTCCTTTAAAGCTAAGAACCCCATGTGTATTCTTGTTAAAAAACGTATCCTCTGTTTAATGACAGCTTTCAGATTGCAGTTAACCTGAGCATGGAGCGATACGCCCTGGTGTTTGGGCTCAACACCTTCATTGCTCTGGTGATTCAGACCACGGTAACGGTGATCGTGGTAGATCAGAGAGGCCTTAACCTGCCCATCAGCACTCAGGTAAGCTGCAACACTTCTGTCTGGAGTTGGTGGGAGTATAGAATAACTAGGTAATCTCAAAGGAGTTTACAACCTCACCACTGCCAATATTTAAATCCAGTTCTTCAGCGAGGCACATTTTAAAATAAGAAATTCCTTAATTATCAGCGTAACACACCAAGTAGTTCTGAGCAATAATCACAGTAGGTCAGCATTTTCCTTTGGCTCCTAAAACATCATTGGGCAACATGTCATTGTGCCCCCATATGTCTGCTCCTCCTCCTACCATCTAGTTCCAAGGTTTACTGAAATTCAACTAGGAGGGCCACCTGGCAGCAGGCCTCTGTTCCCTGTTCTCTGCTCCGCTGAGGGACTTAAAATTAGACCAATCTCACATTTACATATGGATCTTAAAAAAGGGGAACATAAAGTAGACATGTAACTTCAATGTCTAGAATTCATTCTTGGAGACATTACATACAACATTGCCCTATCCTCCAAACACAGGCACATAGATCAGTGGGATTTACTGTTTTTCTGCTATTGGCAGTGTTAGCTAGAGCTTGTAGCAAGCCTCCTTGGCTCCAGAGCCCACACTCTGAGTAACCAAATTGCTTACACTTTCACACCGGGTTGTTCTAGGTATGAAAGGAGGGAGAAGGAAGGATTGTGCAAATCCAAATGCCCCATATTGAGATCCTCGGTCTCCGTTACCCCATAATCCACGCAAATCAACAGCATCACGATGAATAATCAATCACAAAGATGGTCAGATTTTATGTGTGTCTAATTCTATTTGTTTTTCTACAGTTTTTAGTTTATGGGAGTTATTTTGCCGTTATTGCTGGAATTTTCCTTATTAGAAGCATATACATTCTCTACTCAGCGAGATGCCGAAAGAAAGTGCAGAGCTCGGCCACATGTCAGAATTCATATGTGCCACACACCCAGAGGGACGAAGGAATGTCATCAAGGGAACAGCCCTCTACTCTTACGTCATCCACTACAGGCTCTTAGGACTGTGCTGGCCACAGTCACCGGGTGCCATAAACTGACAGTCTTCACAAGTCTGGATTCTGATGAACCTTTTCAAAACCACAAGAGAATCTCAGCTTTAGACCAGGTATCTACAGGCCCAGCTGAACTGGATGCAGTCGACAGGACCCATTAATCTCAATGAAGCAACCCATGTTGGGACCCTGGTGAACAGCAGTGACTGAAAAATTCTGGTTGTGATCACTTGTAAGGACACACAAATGGCATGGAAACAAATCAGCCATCCTGGAGTGGATGGTCCCCATTTGTGAGCACAAGTACTAACTGGACTAACCTTGTTTCTTGGCTTAGATATTTGTTTATCTTACCAAAACAGGCAACACGTGGAACCTTTTTTTGTCACATGAGCCATGTTCCTTTTTCTTCCACTAAGTGTATTTCTATATAACACAGTTCTCTGAGAGAATTACAAGGTTTGGTCCCATTTCTAAGGACTCCTCTTTAATTCTGATAACATAGCATTATGAACAAGCTTCTAGTTGATAATATCACCACTGGATTTTTTTCATGATAATTTTTCACTCTGTGCTCTGCTGAGCTTTGTTGTTGAAACTCTACCTCAAGAATAGCTCCAGACACTCTTGTGTGTCCACTGAATGACATACGTGTCAATTCCTAGTTGCACAAGGAGAGCAGTGAGCTTTCTTCCTTTCATGACCCCAGATAGGTGTTTTAATGCTATGCCAGTGTAATGTCTGTTTAAAACAGAAAACTTGAGTAGAAATTTCCGGGGGTTTCTACACGTGTTCATAAATAAGAAAACACTGATGGGGGAGGGAGGGAAGCACCTAATTTTTAAATGGCAGAGATTGTGTTAAATAAAATAATGTGTGCAAAAGTATTAAAGTCTTTATAATTTTCTGATGAATTGTGCTGAAAATTGTCTGAGCTTGTCTGCCCTTTGAAACTTCAATAGAGGACACAGTGAGTAGTATGCCACCTGGAATAAGGAATGCTGATTCAAGATATGTGTTTCAAACACGCTTTTCTCCAAATCCCAAACTTCAATCATCGGACTAAAAATTCGGCCCAAAAGCCAACACATACTTAGTGGAGGAAACTAATGATAGTCCTATTTAAGTCAAAAGCAAGGAAGAGATGACCACTATTATCCTTTTCATTTAACTACTGTACTAGAGATAGTAGCCAACACAATTAGACAAGCAAAAAAAAAATTAGAAAGGAAGAGACAAAAATATTACTCTTCCAGATGCTACAAATATACACCCAAGAGACACAACTAAAAATTGAGATAGTAGTATAGAGGGTCAGTATACAGAAAGCAACAGATTTCATGATTCAACAATCATTTAGTAAAAGACCACATTTATGGTAGTACAAAAATAACTCAAAAACAATTAAATGTAATCTATTTAATAACTATAATTGTATAAGACATGTGAATATGCCTGAAAATACTTATGAAGATTATGAAATAGCACCTAGACATATGGAAAAACTCACTTTATTCCTGTTTAGGAAAAAATATATATGAAGACATCAGGCTTCCTAAATAAATCTGGAAGTTAAATCTTATGCCAGCAAAAAAAAAAAAAAAATACAACATGTTTCTTTTTCCAGAACTAGTAAGGCTGATTCTAAATTTTATTTGAAAAATTAAGAAGGAAGACCCAAGAAAATGCTTTTTTAAGTAGCAAATAAGATAAATTTTACAGAGAACAAAATCTTACTCTGAACTCTTAGTTACAGTAACATAGGATCATAAAGAGACAGTCCAATAAAACAGAGTAAAAAATTCTGAATTAGTCCCTAATTCATACGGGATTCTAAACTATAATAAAAATAGCATCTCATACAAGAGGGAAAAATTATGGAATATTTAGTAAGATTGGAATAACTTTTGTTTCAAAGGAAAAACTAAGTTGGACCCAAGAGTGCTAGAATAGCTCTATCAATATGTAATGTATACATATCAACATGTAGATGTAAAAAATGAAACTACAAGACTAGAGGAAAACATGTAAGAATTATTTTACAACTGCAAACCTTTCTAAAGTAAATCTTAGAAGTTAAAAAAAAAATGAATTGAAGCATAAAACTAAGCTTACGCATGGACGGAAAAAAACACACACTATAAGCAAAGGGGAAAAAAACCATAATAATTTGGAGAAATTATTGCAACTCATCAAAGCTACTTTCCCTAATTTATAATGAACTAATACAGGTTGATAAGAAAAAGATCAACAACCGGATAGAAAAGGGTGTGAACAGAGAATTCCGAGGAAGGGAAACGTAGATGGCTCAGACATGTAAAAGATGCTAAAACTAACTCATAAGAGAAATGTATATTAAAATGACAGTGAGACATCATTTTTAGCTATCAGACTTGGAAACCAATCCGGAAGTGTGACAATACATTTCTTCTCTAAGAATGGGTCAAAGGGTGTTCTCAAACATTGTTGGGGGAAGTGTAAATTAGCTTCATTGCTGCAAAGAAAACGTTGGCATTCTCAAAATTACAAATATGTGTATCTGTCCACCTATAGATTTCTCTGATAGAAATACACACTGCCAATAAGCTTGCATGCCTGGTAACTAACTTGTATGAAAGGGTTTCCATTACATCATTGTTTCCAAGAATAAAGTGCAAGATAATAGCAAGACTTGGGATGAAGAGTTGATGCCAAAGAGTTTGATGACTGAGGAAGAGAGATCAGAAGGTCAGTAGATAGCAGCGTCCAGATACCCACATTTCCATCTAAAATACCCACCATGGTCCTACAATCTGCTTCCTCCTCCAGCAGTCCTCAATGCATAAAGAAAGGCTCTGAGGAATATTCTAGAAAAGACACCCATGTAACTTTATCTCACCCAATGTTTCTGAAAGGATTCAGTCTCTCAACGCTATTTTTATTATTAATAGAATTCAGGCTCGTTGAACACACTCTCAGAAACACTGGACTCAGGAGCCAACTCATCTTTCAGTTCTGAAGTTATCAGTAATGGGAGATGAAATCACGGGCACCCCTCCCTGGCAGGTGGCTCAGGTGGTCGGAGCATCACCCTGCTCACCAAAAGGTTTCAGGTTGCATTCGGGTCAGGGCCCGAACTGGCAGCCCATTGATGTTTCTCTCTCACATGAATATTTCTCTGTCTCCCTCTCTCTGCCTTCCTCTCCCTCTAAATATCAATTTTTTAAAAAGTATCCTCAATTGAGGATTAAAAAAATGATAAAATATATATTTTTTAAATCACATGCACCCAGAGCCCCAGCTCTCAGCTAGCAGGCCCTGACTTTAAAAAAAAGGGGACTGGAGAGAGGACAGCTTTTAAATGTATTTTTATCAGCAGAACCTTTCTTCCATATAAATTCTTATATGAAATATGAACAAACAGAACAGATTAAACAAAGATGGGTTTGCTAAAGCAGTAGTAGTTTATTTGGACAAGTTGGTCTGGATTTATCCTAAAGTCCACCCTGCTCTCTCTCCCCATGTGCTTGTGATCACACTGCCCTCTGGTGTCTAACCTTCAAAGAAAGTAAATCTAAAATGACTACAGAAATCTCTCCATTCAAACTTGTAGCCTAAGAGTTGCCAAGGACGGCTATTTACTAAGCAGTGACTCTCACAGTGAGGTCCCCAACCAGCGGCATCAGCATCACCTGGGGACTTGTTAGAAAAGAAATTCCCCATTTCCGTGTCTCCCCGAGTAAAGTGGTGAGACACCCCACTATTGGTGTTTAAACAAGCCCTACAGATGAAGAACAAAGTCTCAACCCATCACCCATGGGTGGGAGTAGACATTTTTTTGTACCATATAACTTTCAATTAAGAAAAAAAATAGGCTTGGAAGCAGCCTCTTGGACACCAAAAGTTCATAAACAGAAGAGTTTCTATACTTAGCATTTGTTCAGCGGTTTTCACTTCATGTCATACTTTCAGACTCAATGTGCATTACATCCATTCCCACACCACCCCTGGAAACAGTTTCTTTATAGCACTGCCATGAATCCTAAAAGAAGGTTCTAGAATGCACCTGGTCATCTTTTCTTTAAAATTAATGTCTGTGGTAATGATGCTCAGAGTCATTCTTCCGTTATTCCATGCTCTCTGTGTCCTTTCTGGCCCAGGCTCGTAGTGTTTCTGCTGGTATAAAATTCTCAAAAACCTTGTCAGTCTCCCACACAGTTCACAGTGGTCCAACCCATCAAAAAAGATCCTCCATGGAGCTTAACCCCATGTCTGTTCCTGGTTTCTGCTGAGTTGGTTGATTGACTCCCTCAGCCACACACCTAATTTCATTAGCAAATGATTGTCCAGCCATACCCGTGGCCAGATTTCTAAAGTAACTATCTGTATAGGCTGAGAATCTTCCACATCATTCAAATGCTAGCTCCTTTGCACCTTGCAGTTTCTTTCTCCAGTAATTTCTCCCCTCTCACATATTACTATAAGCAGCAAGGAAAAGCCAGGCTGCACCTTCTGTACTGTTTGGAAATCTCTGAGCAAAATATTCAAATTCATTGCTTATAAGTTCTACTTTCCTCCCTACGATAGAATATAACTCAGCCATGTTCTCTGTCAATTTATAACAAAAACGACCTTTTCTCCAGTGTCCAATAACACGTTCTTCCTTTCCATCTGAGACCTCACCATGACCATCCTTACCCTTCATATTTCTAGCAACATTCTGTTCACAATGAAAGATATATTCTCTAAGATGTGTTCTCTATTCTCTATAGCTCTCCTCTCTTCTTTCCAAGCCTTCACCAGAATTGCCTTTAATATCCATATTTCTACCAACAATCTCTTCAAGGCATTATAAGGTTTTCTATCAAGTTCCTCAAAACTCTTGCAACCTCTACTCACTATCCAGTTCCAAAACTACTTCCCCACTTTTAGGTATTTGGTACAGCAGAACCCCACCTCAAAATTGGTATCAACAATGCATTAATTTTGGGTGCAAGGGAAACATGCCGTTGAAATGAGCCCCTACTC